AAAAGGAGGCATGGACCTTCTTTGGATGTGAAAGTACAATCCTGCTTATTTCTGTCTCTTCAGGATGGGCGGGACAAGGAAGGCATCAAGAAACTAAAACAAGAGAAAGAACAGAATGAATATTTAAGGAAAAAACTGACAGCATATTGCAAAATATTTTTCACTTTATATCCTTTGGGGTAATGGTTATTCACCACCTGAATGGTGCTGTTGGGTTGTGACTCCTCTCAGGATGTAAATCACAGCGTCACAGGGTGGTTTGGGTTGGGAGGGACCATAAAGATCATCCAGTTTCAACTCCTCCATGCATAAGAAGCAGAGCTGTACTGCACATGCAATGGGCTGAATGGACAACTCAGTCCCTGGGGTAGTGTCTGGTGACAGGTGGCTTTGATGAGACTTACAGGACAACCACTCATGGTGGAGCTAAGCACTTGGGGTGCCAGCTGGGTCATCTTTTACATGCAGTCATAAAAAAAAATCAAACAGTCCTTTAACATGCCATCAGCAGATAGAAGAAGGTTTTTTTAAACCAGAGTCATAGCAGGTTGTGGCCAGTACTGACTCATTGCTGTCGTGGTCAGAAGTCCCCTCTGATGCACAGGGGGACTCTCTTATCCTGTGTTGATGTGACCTGGAAATCCCTGTGGTCTTGGAGTTCCTCTGGCTCCGAGCCCTTGCAGGGGGGTGAAGGCACTGATTGCTGTTCAACATCCTGTCCCACCAGAGACTGGATGGAAAATATTGATTTCCTTTCAGAGGAGGCACATTCAGAGATGCATTTACTGAGGGCTTGCTTCTCCTCGGAGGCAAAGGGAATGCAAAGACAAAGCCCTGTTGAGGGCTCCAGGCATGGAGCAGGAAGATCACACTAACACAAGGCTCTATAACATGCAAGATCTTGGTTTCCTACACCAAACCACAATGCAGACTCCTGGATCCTTTGTCAGCTACTGTAGAGCCAACAAATATTAAATTAAATGCTATCTCCACCAAGGTGCTGACAGTCCCAAGGTGACATCTCTTGCTGTCCCTTCTACAAAATTCCATATCCTCTCTGGGGGTGTCTTCAAGCTAAGGTGAACTTTCAGACCCCAGCTTCATGGCTGGGAAGAAGTCCCCTGGGATCAAATGCAGAGGCAGCAGAAAACATAACTGAGGTGGCATGAGGTGTTTGACCTGGTGGCAGCAGTAATCGGCTCAGATTTGTTTGGCTCGTGGATATTCACCAGTGTTGTTGGGAATGGGATGTAAGAGCACCACCAGCCCTGAGGTGACACATTTTTCTGCAGGTGGCTGCAGTGACTGCCCTTTTGAAGGAGGTTATTAACCTTTCCCATGTCATTGCTTTGAGTGCTGGAGCAGTGAAACACCCATTCTGCAGCACCTAGAGAGGAAGCCCAAAGACCTTGCTCCTCAGAGAACAACCCACACCCACCCACTCTAAGGACAGAGACTCCTCTTTAGAATTTCACAGCCACTTGAGAACCTAGAGGTTGAATGTCCCTCCATGGCACATACCTGGAGGAGGACCACTTAATCTTCTCTGGCTGTAAGAATTTGTCTTAACTAAAGATTTTCAATTAAAAGTTAAGACTGAATTGCTGCAAAGTGCTGGAGACAAGAGTCATTAATACTGGAATGCAAGTTTTAAATAATTTTTAATATGCTCTGCCAGGCATCCATAAAAAGCCCTTAATCAATATGCACTTCAATTCCTTGCATTAGGGTTTGAGGAATTTAAATTCATGGCAGGGGAAGGATCAGGAAATCATAATGAATTTCCATCAGAGCTCTTACACACCCAGACCTGGGAGATCATCAGGGTCCAAGCTGTTGGGAGGGTGTGACCAAACAGATCAAACTTTTTGGTGGTCCCAGTCTCTGGAGAACAGGTGTTGTGGCTTGTCATTGATACGGAAGCAAATCTGTGAGTCCCTGTTGGTGACAGCAGCTGTGATTTTGCTTGGCCATTTCAGCCAGTATCAAATATTCACTGGCACTACTGGCAATTTAAGCATTACCTGACCATCCCCTGGTGAGAAGAGCAGAGGGGATGAGGATGGGCTGAGCTGTAAACATCAGCTCATGGTTGGGGATCCCAAATCTTCACATGCAGCATTCCCATGCCCTCACAGATTTGATAACTCTCTTCCTGCACACGAACAGGGTCAGTTTTGTGGTTGGTGCACAAGCAAATCAAGCTGATACTCCTACTTCTTACTGCCATCATATCACAGCAGGAGCATGGAGAGGCACAAGCTTTCCCAAGGTGAGGAGGAACAAGACAATCCAACCCACCCAAGAAGACACTGTGGCAATGCTGGTTTGAAGCTAAACTTGTGCTTAATAATTTGGCTGGATCCAGGCCAGAGGTGCAGGAAAGAAATTTCCAGTAAGTAGAAACCTCTAGGAAGAACCAAACCCTAGAGGAAGCTCAGGGTGAGGTTTGTGCTTCCTATTTCAGTCTAAAAAAAACCCTGTCCCAGGAGGGGGTGAGTTTCAGTAACATCCAGAGTGTCTCCCACACACTCACACCAAATATTCCATTTCTTCGTATCCAGCACAGGGGTAATGACAGTAAAGCAGATGGAAACTCCACATGCAGATAGACCCTCAGAACATCCTTCCCTGCAGGTAGCCCAGGGACAGAGCAGCACCACCCTTGGAATGGCTCACAGGAGGAGGGACACATCGAAAGGAGCAGTGGTGGCTGTTGCAGCCAATTTGACCCCCCAGAGATGACAACAGGGCCTAGGGATTTATCCCGTGGTTATCTGCATGCTCTGTGCCATGGGTTTGGATGAGGAGCGGGTATTTCTCTCACCATTTTTCCTTGGGGGAAGGCAGGAGCTGGGGCCTGTGCCCTAGGAGCAGGCTGCATGCAGCCACACTATTTCAGAGGCTGAAAAAATGCAGCCCTGTAGAGGAAAGTCAGGTAAAGCTATTTATTAGACTGCCTCAGGCCCTGCTTAGTTTACTGCCAGCCTAAAAATCCCCCAGTGCAGGGAAAGCAGCTTGGACCGTGTGTGCACATTGCTGCAGCTCAGCCTGCGTTCGGAGGGCGCATCTGTCTGATTTTGCAACCCTTGACGCTTGAAATGAGCTAGGGAAAAGCAGGCAGCCCTTTGGAGAGGGACAGGGGAAAATAAAAAAGGAAAGAAAAACAGAAGGAAACCAAAAGCGCGGGTAGGAGGGAAGGGAAAGGGAGGATTGTGTCTCGGGCAGGCGTCGGAGCCTCTGAGGACTGTCCCCGCCGTCGCCCCGCATTGCGAAAGAGCCTCTGGCTCGGGTGCCCCTCGTTTTTCCAAGGGATGCCGGCACGGAAAGCCTGTCCCGGGCGCTGCTCGCAGGGCGCAGCGGGGATGCCGGGGAGCCGGGAGGCCCCGCGCCGGGGCCGGGATGCGGCGGCAGCGGCAGCGGGATCGCAGCGGGGCCGCTGCCATCTAGTGGTACCGGGACCCGGTGTCCTCCCTGCCCCGGCCGAGAGAACCCCCCGAACACAGCCCAGACCCCTCCGACACCCCCCGCCATCCCTCTGCATGCGGGGGAATCGCCTTCGGGTTTGGGGGGTTCCGAGGGGATTCTGCCAGCGGGGCTGGAGCATCTGCCTGGAAAATGCGCCGAGACGTAAATGCGGTGGAGCGTGAATGTTTGCGAGCTGAGGAGCCGCGCCGATCACAGCAGCCAGGGACTCCTGCCTAGGGCTCTCTCCCCCTCCCCTTCCTGCACCTTCTCCTCTCCATATGCCTCTGCGAAGGGTTTATCCTCCTTTCCCTCCATGAAAAGAAATACCCTGTGGCAGGAGCAGGGCTCTCCCCTCCATCCCTTCACATTGACTGCAGGCTCCCTCCTGCCTCCCATTTTGTGGTCTCGTTGCTCCCCCACTGCTGCTGGTCCCCACGGAGAACGGCGGGAGGGACACAGCCGCGTTTCTTCTCTTCCTTCTCGCATGTCTTTAACACCACAGATCTTTCAGGGATGCTGACACCTCACTGTTTCTGCGCCCTGAAGTCTGCAACCTGAAAGGGAGGGAAGGGGGGGCGAGGCCTGAACCCCCTTTCCTTTGTATCTTCTTGTAAATTCCATCATGCAGTAAATCTCCCCTGTTGTGCTGGGAGCTCCCCTCTACTTTGGGGGTAACAGTCCCATCTCATACCCAGGGAAGGAAATGGAGATGGCTTTTCAAAGGCCACCCCAGAAGGGGATGGAGTAATGCACTTCCTAGATCCCATCCTGCCCCTTGGGGTCCTTTTGAGGGGTACAGAGCAGAAAACTAACATGGACATGTTTAAACAGCCCCCACCATGATGCTCATCAGGTGCAAAGAGGCGCAGAGCTGGAATCAGATTTAAAAGGAGAGGGGAAAGCTGGGCCCTGGGCAGTTGTGAGATGTCAGCCAGGGTGATGGTGTGCCAGGAGCACCCAAGGGGTGTCAAAGATGATGCCAGCAATGGGTCCTCTTGGCAAACCAGACCAGACACAGAGATCATCCCTGATGGAGAGTGTCAGAACAGTCTGGCAGCACCCCAGGACCCCCAGAGGATTAGGAGGATCCCCAGAGTATGGGGAAGATGGCACAGGCACACTGTGGGTTTGTGCCCACAGGCCCTCCATTGGATGCACAAAGCCCTTCCCGCTGAAATCAGCTTGGAGATGAGGTTCAACAAACCCCAGATGTGACCCAGTTCTGGGGATCCAGTTTGCTCATGGTCTCTCACGTCAGCTATGGCTGGGTGCAAAACCCTGCCTGATTTTCCTGCCATCCTGCACAACTTAACAAGTATCCAGTAGGAATCCAAGGATTCCAAATCAACACTCTCCATCTTCACCAGCACCATTACAAAAGGGCCATTCAGGGTTTCCTTGTGTTCTCCCCACTCACCCACCTCTAACCTTGCTCTAAAAATGTGTTCACCCTCCCTTTTCCTTCCCTTTTTTCCTCTTCTTTTATTGCTTTGTTCTTTTATCTAAAAAAACCCAAAGCCAACACAACTTTGTAAGTTCAAGTTGACTGTACAACCCAAACCTTGTGCTAGCCCAGAGCATGGGCAGACAAACACATCATGAAGGATTTGTTCACAAGGACAGGTCTTGCTCCATAGGTGTTCTCAGCCAGATGCTTCTTGAAGTCCTTTGTGTGAAGTGCTGCACCCACAGTTAGTTTGGAATGGGCAGGGAGGGGATCTTTTTTGGCCCTTTTGTGTTTAGGTTGCTCCATACCAGCTGGTGACAGTGCTGGAACTGGTCCCAGGCATGGGGTTTTTTTCCAAGGAGAGGTGTTGCTGGGGTCAGCACCCCGTGCAAGGCAGGATTTCATCCAGGGGAAAAGGCTCAAGGCACCAGTCTGGCCCATCTCCATCTTGCAGTCCTGCCCTGGGGACCAAGCCTCTGCCACTGAGGAGGGGAGGAAACCTTCTAGGAGGAAAAAGAGATTTTTGAGAAATGCTGCTACTTGGTACGGGTACCTTCAAGTGTAGCATAGGAGAACAGAGCTGCCCCTGGTCACTGGGGTTTCCCATCTCCCAGGGTTCTGACCATGTTTCCTCTACTATCCCAGCTGGCTGGGATTCCTCATTCTTCCACATGAGCCAGTTCCTTCCGAGGCTGATTCCACAATCTTCACATCTTAACTCCATGACAAGCTAGAAGGGGACTGCAGAGCCAGTCCTTACACTTTTATCAGCACAGGATTAATTAAAAAAAAAAATTAAAAAAAAAAATCAGAAATAGAAAACAGCTCGGCATTAACCTCATGCTACAGCAATTTCCAAGCAGGTACGCCAGCGAAATAAAAACAGCAATTTGCAGCTAAATAAAAATAACAGTTAAGCATTTGAAACACAAATGCACCATTCAGGAGGAGCAGATAAATATTCAGACGCGTTCATTAGGAGGTTGAGGCTGTCTCTCAAATAAACAGACAGGTACAAAATAGCAGCCTGAATACTCCAATTACGCCAACATTGCATCAGTGCCGATGCTCCCGGCTCCGAGAGTGGGAGGGGGAGAAGGAGAGAGGGTGAGGAGGAGGAGGGCAGTGGGGAAAGCATGTGTGGGAAATGCATTATTATTATTATTGCTTTTTTTTAAAATTTGCCTTAAATTTTGTTTTATGTAACCGGTGTTTGGATTCTCTTTCCGAGAGGGTTTAACTCCTGGGGATGGGAAGTTCTCTTGCGGCACCATGCTCGTCACGGCTCCTCTGCCTGATCTGGGCTTGCTTGGCCTGGCTCCCAGGGAAGACCCCCCACACTGGGGAAAGCAGGACTTGGCCTCCTGCCCACGGCCCTAAACCCACCCTGCACAGCCCCGGGGCAGCGAGGCACGGCCTTGGATCAGCGCAAAGCAAAACAGCGCCGAGCCCAAAAGCTACAAAGCCTTTGGAGCTCAAGTACTGCAGCTGACTGGAAAAACAACACGCTGCCCCCAGCGCCCCGCCATCCCCTCCGCTCCTGCGAGTCCCTGCCCCAAGGCCGGGACAGCTATGGGGCTGTGGCTCTGGGACGAGGGGACACTGAGCACAGAGGGTGCGGGTGATGCTGGTGTGGGGCTGCGGGGGTGCTCAGGGACATCCCTGGGGGTGTCCCCAACCCCAAGGACATTTTGACACATGTCACCTGTGTGGGGACAGGAGCCACCCTGCCTCACACGCACTGCAGGGGGACACAACAGGAGGCCTGCTGTGGGCCTGGGGATGCTCAGGGACAATAGGGTGTCCCCTACCCATGGACAGCGACACTTCTGGTGGTGTCAGGTGTCACCTGAAGGGGAGCAGGTACCACCCTACCCCACGCACCCCAGGGGAGGTGCAGTACTCCCACCACACACGACCCCTGCTGTGGGGCTGGGGGTGTGCTCAAGGACCGTGGGGTGCCTCCAACCCCAAGGACAGCCACACTTTCGGGGTGACACGTCACCTGAAGGAACCGGGCAGGCGTCACCCTGCCCCACGCACAACTCGGGAGGATGTGGCACTTCCCAGCATACACAAACTCTTGTGTGGTCCGGAGGGGCTGCCCGGGGGTGTCGTTGGTGGTGTCCGGTGTCCCCGGGGAGGGTGTGGGGGTGACAGGTGCCGCCGCTCCCCGC